TAGTATCACAGAGGAGTATCATGTATATAAAGGAGAGTTAACTGGGTCAGTGCTTCTGAAACTAATTTCATACAGATTTCTAGGGAGTTGTTGAAAACACAAATACTGATTCTGTAGTTCTGGGGCAGGTCTTGGGGTCTGCATTTCTAAGATCCTATGGGATGCCTGGAATGCCAGTACGTATACCAAACTTTGAGAAGCAAGGATCTAGATAGCCTTTCACATCACTTTTCAATACTAAAAATCTGTAATTCTTATAGAAAAATAAACTTGAGCAAAAGAAAGCAGTCTACTAGGTCTTCCATATTTAAAAAAAAAAAAGGCAGGATTTGCAAGCAGCAAAGAAAACAGGACTTTTGCCAGGAAGTAGAACAAGCATACTCTCAAGTTCACTCAGTACCTGTACGTTTAAAAAGAACCTGCTCCAGGGGCCAGAGCCGTGGCACAGTGGGTAAAGCTGCTGTCTGCAGTGCCTGCATCCCATATGGATGCCAGTTGGAGTCCTGGCTGCTCCACTTCTGATCTAGCTCTCTGTTGTAGCGTAGGAAAGCAGTAGAAGATGGCCCAATTCCTTGGGCCCCTGCACCCACATGGGAGACCTAGAAGAAGCTCCTGGCTTCGGATCGGTTCAGGTCCAGCCATTGCAGCCAACTGGGGAGTGAATCAGCGATGGAAGACCTCTTTCTCTGCCTCTCCTACTCTTTCTCTGTAACCCTGACTTTCATATAAATAAATAATTTTTTTTTAAAAAAGAACCTTCTCCAACAAAAGAAAAGTTGTTTCTAAATACTTGCCTGAAACTATACTTAACTAACAATTTTCATTAGAAGAAACCAACCATATCCCACCACTGGCATTAATAGTTCTCATTACTCCATTTTTATCATTGTTGAACTCAATGCTACATTAAATTTGAGATTTTAAATGTTTATCTAATTCATTCAGTGAAAATCCTTCATAATTATTCATTCTCCTGAATGTACACACTTGGCTTTGTTACCATCTTTCCTCCACATTGATAGATCAGAGCTTCCCAAACTGGAGAGTTAAATATGTTCCTCGAGATAATGAAGTTATGCCTTGCTATCTGTGGCAGAACCTGCTATGTGTGTGTGCCTTTCCATCAGGTGAGAGGGTCTCTGGACCTGCAGGAGAAGTTCGTAGCCTATGTGTTTATCTAACACAGCATGCCCACCACAATTTGGTCATGGGAAGAAGGACATTGAGAAAGCAATTCAGATGCACCTGGCAGATGTGTCAGCAGGTGATGGCCCCAATATCAGTCTTCTTTATATGAGATGCTTGTATCCATTTATGGTAAAGCTGTTGCACATAGGCTCTCTTAAAGTCACGTGAATTTTTCAGTATAGAATTTTAAGTATATGTTCTGTAATACTTGACATATAAAACTTAGGTAGATTCTAAATCTTTAGGCATCCTCATATGAAATTACAATGGCAAATTTGGCAAATAAATAAAGGAAGAAGCTGTGACATTATTTAAATTTTGAATGTTCCAAATTTTTGAATGGTTAAAAGTGGTTTTAAAATATTTTACTCTCTACTTGTGTACAAGAACATTTTCATTGACAGCAGCTTTTAGGAATCTGAAAAGATCACTTGTCATTAAAATGCTTCCTTAGAAATGCTACATAGTTTTCAAGCATAAAGCCTGAAATAAAAAGTTATCCTGGCCGGTGCCATGGCTCACTAGGCCAATCCTCCATCTGTGGCGCTGGCGCTCCGAGTTCTAGTCCCGGTTGGGGCGCCAGATTCTGTCCCGGTTGCTCCTCTTCTGGTCCAGCTCTCTGCTGTGGCCTGGGAGGGCAGTGGAGGATGGCCCAAATCCTTGGGCCCTGCACCCAAATGGGAGACCGGAGCGGGGGGGGGGGGGCACCTGACTCCTGGCTTCGGATTGGCACAGCACGCCAGCCATAGTGCACCAGCCATGGCGGCCATTTGGGGGGTGAACCAACAGAAGGAAGACCTTTCTCTCTGTCTCTCTCTCTCACTAACTCTGCCTATCAAAAACAAAAAAGTTATCCTGATGGAAGTATATTTCTCAGTTTTAAATTATCTATAGTCAATTTTAATATTTTGCCCCAATTGTTGTGCTTTATCATTCTTGTATCAGATATAGAAAATGCCTTCATCAAGGCCATACAGATGTCCCAAGATTTCCTCTAATTTACTTGAGTGTGCCATAGAAGTTTTATTATTTTATGTGTTGGGAAATTCAGCTATGGAGAGTTTCACCTCTGTAGTATGAGGGCACTTAAGAGAGTTTGTGGACAAATGGAATTAAAAGATAAGTTTATGTTGGTATCAAAATCAGAATCTATGTTAGTCTTTTTATAATACGTATTTTCTTTGAACTTTTGAAGACCCACTCATATATTCTGTTATCAAATATATTCTAGTTTAATTAGAGATTTATTAATTGCACATTCATGTTTATGTATGGTTACTGTTACTTGTAGCAAACAGACAAATTCACATGGTAACTGGAAATTGTTAAACCTAGGTTATTTCTTGAAAATTTTGGTATTTTAGTATGTAGGGCTAAAATTGCATTTTTCTTCACCTAAATGTTTATACAGTGTTCATTTGTTACAGATCATTGAGCACATTGCTTAGTGTACTTGAGGGTGCATGTTTTACTTCACAATAACAGAATGTTTTAAAAAATTAGCTTTCTAAGACTAAAGAGATGTAGGGATCTATACATGTTCTCAACATATTCTTGTTACTCTCCTGGAAAACTCAGTAAATGATTAACTGGGCATTGGAAGCAGTCATGAGAGGCATGGCACTGGCTTGACTGAGCATTCACAATAGGAACACAGCCCTGTTTGCTTCTGAATTATCCTGTTTTCTATATACTTAATCAGATGAAATAAATAATATTAAAACCTACTTAAGGGTGATAATTGCCCCTCCCCATTCATGATGTACAATATAACACTGAAGTTATGACTATGAACCAGGAAGAAGAAGGACAGAATTAGCCATTGATATGAAAAAGTTAAGATGGATTTTAAATTCATTTATAGCCCCTGCCTTTAGAAAAATTCATTTCTTTTGCATCCCAGAAATTGCAGCAAATAACATCCACAGGATAAAAACCAGATAATTTCAGAATATATAACTGAATAATATCTATTTATCTATCATCCATCCATCCATCCATCTACCTGTCTGGTATTAAGGGGGATACTACCTTCTTTCCATGAGAAATTAGATTGTCCTAGTGGGTTAACCAACCAAATGTTTATTCCAGACTTGCAAGGTTCTCCATTTAAGACAAATGCTCCATTAATGAGTCACTGACTTATTGCCAACACTCTTGCCAAACTGATTAATTTAACAATAACAAGAAAGGGACACACATGTTCCTGCCCTGCCTGTATCTACCGTTATTAAACATTTGCTGCAGGTTTCTCCTGCCTTGCTAGTGCACAGTTAGCATCTGTCTGCTGTGAGAATGAAACACCCAGAGAGCTCGAGGCCACAATTCAGGCTGAGGCCCGAATAGAAAGGAAGACAGCTCACAGGTGGATTTACAGAGCACACAAGAGAGCTACCTAGCTGAGCCCATTCTGCAGTATCTCCCATGAGAACAGTTCACTGCCCCATCACATGTCTTGTTAACACTGGCATTTGCTTTTGACAAGATGTACTATGGGTAAATAAATTAGCAACCTAGTACACATTTCTGCAAACACAGAGATAAAATCAACTAGCTAGCATCCCTGAGTCCCATCCCCCACCATGTTTTGAAGTTTTGTCTCATTTGCTTCTTGTACAGAGCAAGTCTTGTTGCCTTTCTATACACACACACACACACACACACACACAATTCTCCCTTTTCTTCCCTTCCTCTGAAACAAATTGCGCCCCCCGGCGGCTGGGAGCTTTAAAAAAAGAAACAAGAAAGAATCCCTTTCTCAAACGCACTACACTTGCTCACTTTCTCCTCCCTGCAATTTTACTTTGGGGCTGACTCCAATGCGTGCCCGCGAGCAAGACCCAAGTAGTCACGATTAAGAACCTAACCACACCACCTCCTGCGGCCAGTTTCCTCTTTTGTTATTCAAAAAGAAGGGGAAAGCGCAAGCCGAAAGGGAAGCCCTTTGCCGCTGGCCAGGGCGGAGATCTTGGCTCTGCGCAGGGAGGGCGGCTTGGCTGCGGTGGCGCGCGCGCCGCTGTCCAGGTCTCGGTGCTGAATTCCAGACACGCCGGTGGCACCCGTCAGGTTCAATCTTGCAGGCTCCAAACGGGCTCCGCTGAGGTAAACTGAACTCATTTTCCTCGCGTGAGCGGATACGGGTGCACTTAACATGTTTTCTTGTTCTCTTTAAACGGGAGAACATTCTTCCTCAGAAAGTCAGGCATGGCACTGCCTCGGTTCAGCACCAAAAATGAGGGAAAAATGGAAAGTTTAGGATTAGTGAAACCTGCTCTTTCTCCTCCTTGAGTCAACACAACGGCACATGGGACCCTAGGTCCCCCTGTTGATAAAAAAAATCTTGGATTTTTAAAAATTGCGTGGCTAATCAGTTTTCTGATGCACACTGGCATTGCAATGTGCTCGGATGGTGTCTGGAATAAAATTTTAGATATTGTTTTTACCACTTTAAGAAGCAGGACAGGAGGAAGTAAATTTGTAAACAAGGCTGCTTTGTATGGTTTAAAATTCATTGTTAAATGTATGGCTTTGGCGCTGTCTCGGGGACGTGCTCATTTTCTTTGGCGATTTAGAACAGAATGGGAGAACAGTGGCTTCCCCCTTCTCCCTGCCCTCCCAGCCTCCATCCGATCTGAAAGATCTAAGAGGCTACTGACAGCCAAAGAGCCCTCGGCAGAATCCTACCTCGACCCCCCCCCCCCACACACAAACAGGATGATAAAGTAAATAGGAAGAAAAAGGATGCAAGGGGGTGAACCCCTGCCGCCTCTCCAGCCTTTGGTTCCGGGCAATTATATTCGAACGAGGCATTCTCTTTGAGAAGTGATGTTTCTCCCAGCCACAGAATTTATGGGCCGGCAGGGAGCAGACTCAACCGATGCCAGCAAAGAGTCCTTCCTTTCCCTAATCCCTCGCTGCTTATTTTAGCCGCGTCTCCACCCCGCCGGGAATGCCATCCAGATCTTGGTCCAGGTAGATCTGACGTCAAGAGATGGCTTTCGTCGATTTGACGTGTAAACACTCATTTCCATTCTGCCTGGGAAGGGCTGGGGCTCCACTCAGCCGGGAGACCGAAGCGCTTCAGTGAGCGCTCGCCGCCGCCGCCCAGCCTCGCCTCGCGCGCCTGCCAGCTCTTCGCAGAGCAGCCCGGAGCTAGGAGTGGTCCAGAGCCCGAGGGTGGGAAGGGCGAGTCTGTCTGGCTTTTTCCCTCTCCGGCTTCTTTTCCCTCCTCCTTCCCACTTGTGTGCGGACGAGTGTGTGAGCCATGGAACGAGGAGCCTGGACTCTGCAGCGTGCCGCTCTCGCCCTCCTTTGCGCTTGGTGTGCACTGAACAGCGCAAAAGCCAAGAGGCAGTTTGTCAATGAATGGGCGGCGGAGATCCCCGGGGGCCCGGAGGCAGCCTCGGCCATCGCTGAGGAGCTGGGCTATGACCTTTTGGGTCAGGTAAGAGTTTGCACTTTCCAGAAACTTTCGGGGGCTCAGGGGGACTGGCTGGACGGGAGAGCGCGGTCTCTCAAGTGGGAGCCCGGTTGCACTTCCCTGCACCGAGTGTGGCCAAGAGAGCCCGGAGCTTCTCCCGCTGTCGCCCCAGGCGCGCAGGGAGCGAGAGAAGCCTTGCATTATTTACTGTTTGAGCTGGGCGCAGCCAGGCAGAAGGAAGCTGCTGCAGCTGGGTTGAGCTGGTTCTTGCGGTTGTCCGCTCTAGGATTGAAATCTGTTCCCGCGCGGTTTGCAAGAGAAATGCTTCACGCTTGTTCTGGGAACTTGAGATGCACGCAGACTCTCACCAGCCCAGCGCCCCCCGGGAGAGGCAGTGCGCGCCTTCCCCCGGGACAACTCGGGCAGTCTGCGTCAGGAGCCAATATGGCAGCAGCAGATCCAAGTCTCGCTGCAAGGGGCCGAGCCGGCTTGGAGATATTCGCTGGTAGCATCTGGGGGCACGCCCAGGGCATTGGGAGAGCGCCAACTGCCCGGACACGCGGCCCGGAGGTCGGGGGACCACGCAGTGACCTGGGGAGCTGGCAGGAGGAGAGGTGGGTGAAAGACAAGGGACCATTTCTATGCCTCTTTGGGGAGCTCCGGATTGTCCCTGGGAACTTGGAAAGTCTGAGCCCCCTAACTTTGCTTGTCCAGGGCGCCTTTAGCGTTAGGCCTCCGGGCTGCCTGGGGCGGGGGATCAGTTTCTTTTCCCGTGCCTGTCAAGTGCGTAATCCTTTTCCCAGGGAGAGTTGGCTTAGGTGGAAACCGTAGCCTGTGCAAGTGGGGGTTAATTAGGTAGCCCGAGCAGGCGGGGGCGCTCAGGTTAGGGAACCCGCTGAGCTGCGCTGTCCGGAGGAGGCCTCAGGGGGCTGTGACTTCTAATCTAGAGCTTTCCTTTTCTTTGACTCAGAACCCTTGCCTTAGAAGTTGGTCCGCATCGAAGCGGGGGAGGAGGGAGTTGTAAAACATTTTGGCGCGTTTTCTCTGGAGGGGGTGGTTGAAGCGCGCTGAAGTCATGGATGAGTAATCCGCGTGGGCGTTGGCGATTCCATAGATCCAATCCTCCGGGGAATACGCCTTCTCTCGCTGGAGGCTGCGGTTTCCAACTTTGTGAGTTGAGCTGTCTTCGATAGATTGACTTCCCAGTGTCCCAGCTGCAGACCGAGCGCTTTGCTTTTGCACAACCCTGGCTCTATGCCGGGCTAGGTGTTAGGTGCTGAGAAAGACGCGGAGGAAAAGAAACGTTGGGTTGGCCAGGAATCGAGTAACTGGCGGAGACTGGCTTAGAAGCCAATGATAGCAAGTGTATTTGATCTGTGTCGTGTGTGAAGTTGTGCTTGGAGCCTTGATAGGATATTTGTTCACTGACGACGTAAAGGTGTAAGGCGGTCTGGGAGAAGTGAAAGAAGACAGCCCAGCGGAGGAAACATTTGCACAGGGTTTAGGAAGGAGAGTCAGGCGCTGCCAGGAGGGCAGGGTAAGACTGGAGGTGGAGGAAACAGGGCCACAGAGTAGCTCAACTGCACGCAGTTGTCCGGGTTCTGGAGGGGCAAAAAACAGTAGCAGATGGAGCTGTACTGGGGGAGGGAGGGAGTGGGAATCGTGGAAATCTTGTATGTCTTACTGGGAGAGGGGAGGCAAAAACTGGGGAGTTAATCCTTTGTACCTCTGACAGCTACTCAAAGTAGGACTAGTAATTGTATAGAAAATAATAGGGAGAGAGAGGGAAACAACAACAAAACAAAGCAAAATCCCCTCTGTTTTCTCACCTATTAGCCCCAGACACAAAGCCAAACCTGGACCATTGAATGTGAGAACTGTTTTTCAAACAAAGAAAATATAAAGCCAGAAAATTTAAAAAAAAAATTTTTTTTTTGTATCCTTGGGAGAATTTGGGGGATGGAGATGGCACAGTCATAAGCACCATTATAACATAGCAGGGAAAACCCAACTAAGTTTACATATGATTTGCAATGCTTTATTTCCTCTGGCTATTTCTAATTAAAATGGCATTGCTAACAAGTTTTGAAAATAGTAGTTCTTAATAAAGATGATACTTCCTTGCTGTTCTGCTTATTTTTCCCTTTGTTAATTGTAATTACAAAAATTACACAAATTTACTGTTACTAGCCTACGTCACGTATGGCCTCAGGGTAGTCACGATCAAGGTAGTGACAAGAAGCAAAACCAGCTGACTCATCATCAGTGATCTTTTCCCATGTCCTTCTGCAGCTTGTAGACAATTCACTGCCAGGGTTCAGGCTTGGACCAGGGCCCAAGCATGTCCATTAAAAAAGTCTAGGTGATGAGAACCACCAATTTAAAGAACATACTTCTGAAATAAACTGTAGTCAACTGTTTGTCTCTTAATTAAAAACACACTGAACATCTAGAGAACTCAGTAGCTTCGAATTTAGTACTGATTTGTGTATAGGGACACCAGCTTATACGAAGCTGAACATAGTTCTAAAAGGACCAAAGGTATTGAGAACTCTCCAAAGTACACACACCCTAAGTTGGAGCACCTATTCTACACATGGCATGTGCTTTCTTGAAAGCCTTAAACTAGTGGGAAATCAAATGGTCACCATTGGCTGATGGAAATTATCATTATGGAATCAAGGCCTACATTTTATAGCAACAACAAATTATTTTAGCTGAATGTGGCACTGATCATAGATAGTACCCTAGGGGTTCACTTGCTTTCCACAAACAATTGCTCTCTAACTTGAAACATTTTATTAAATGGACAATATTTTGAGAAATGTCTATCTGTACAATATTATCTGACACAAATACATGCACACATACTCATCCAAATGTAGTTTTCCTAAAAGATGTGAAACAGAGGCATCACATGTCACTGTGAGCCCAAGATCATCTCCAGAGGGGCATCTTAAGAGCTGTACTAGACGGCTGGTGCTGCGGCTCACTAGGCTAATCCTCCGCCTTGCGGCCCTGGCACACCAGGTTCTAGTCCCAGTTGGGGCGCCGGATTCTGTCCTGGTTGCCCCTCTTCCAGGCCAGCTCTCTGCTGTGGCCAGGGAGTGCAGTGGAGGATGGCCCAAGTACTTGGGCCCTGTACCCCATGGGAGACCAGGAGAAGCACCTGGCTCCTGCCATTGGATCAGTGCAGTGTGCTGGAGGGTGAACCAATGGCAAAGGAAGACCTTTCTCTCTGTCTCTCTCTCACACTGTCCATTCTGCCTGTCAAAAAAAAAAAAAAAAAAGCTGTACTAATGCCTTCCTCATGAAGAAAACAGGTTAATTTCCAATACACAGGATGGACTAAATAAAGGTGGCCTGTCTCTAGAGCAGTTTGGTTTCAAACTAGACCACATATACTTGTTTGAGGAAGTGGATTTTAATTTTTTTCTTTTATAGATTGGATCACTTGAAAATCACTACTTATTCAAACATAAAAACCATCCCCGAAGGTCTAGAAGAAGTGCCCTCCACATTACGAAGAGATTATCTGATGATGACCGTGTAAGTGTTGTGCACTGCTCTCAAATCAATACCCTGACCTATTTACTTTCTTTTTGATGATTAATAAGAGCAAATGTACTTTGAAAATGTGATTCCTTTTTATTGTGATGCGATTTTTCATCTGTAATATGTCTAGTTTCTTTCCACAGATTATAATTGTACACAATAATATTGAATTGTGTTGAGCTAACTATATATATACTTTAATTATAGATGCCTTATATATCTACAAAGCTGATTATATTTATCTTCCCACAAATCTAAGAACATGAAAGTGAATACTGAAGATCAGGTGGCAGCATTAGTAAAACATTTTGATAGTACAATCAATCAACAACTTTTATTATCTACCTGTTGTGTACAAATCAGTTTAGCACCAACGTGGGAATTCAAAAAAATATATGACTCTTGCTTTCAATAACAATTGAGCATAAATGAAAACATTCTGCCAATTCTATTTGGTTTTGCTATATAGGGAATTAGTGCTTATGAGAGAGCTGTAAATCCATATCTTTGTGAGTCAAATGTTTCTTCAACTATTGTGTTGTTTGACCCAAACCATTTGATCTCTTTTCATAGTGGTTTTTAATCAGATTTGATGGCTAGATGACAGCAGGAAATGTCCAGAATGAACACAGATAATAGAGAAGGGACAATTTGAACACAAATTTAATATACATATTGATTTTGAAGTCTATTTTTAAGATCAGCAAATATATCAATAAAAAATGTTAACTACATTAGGAGTATTGAAATTTTCTACACAATGTTGCTTTTCTTAAAATTATTTCATACTAAGTGAAATTTATCCTGGTTGGGCTGATATCTGTATACATGATTTCTGTTGCCTTGGACACCCTAGAGAATTACTATGATAAATGGAAAACATCCTCTTGGTGAGAGGATTGAAAAGATCCACTCAACTTCAAAGAAAAAAAAAAAGGATATGACAGAAAGATGATAGAAAGTACATGGAATTCTTTAAGCCTGTGAAGTAGTTTACATTTTATTTATTCTGAAACCAATAGAAGTATTAAAATTAGAAGACAAATGGGGGGGTAGAGAATGATTTGGCCTTGGTCACCAGTGTTCAAATATAAAAGTGGCAGGCCCTGACAAATGCAGAATATTGTATCAGGACCATGGACAGGGACACCACAGGGACATCCATTGCTAGCTCTTTGTGTCAAGTTATGTCTATATGTGGGATACCAAAGTGCAGTCTATGAACCTTATTTTAAAAGTCTTCTTGCCCAGTGATGTCTTCCATTAGTGATCCCCCCTGCCCCCCATGCAGATGGTTCATTGTGCATGGGCTCTAAAAAGTAGGATAACTTTCAACACTCTGGCAAGGCTTGGTCCTTAGGCAAGGCAACAGAGATTTCCTTCTCTGCTGAATGCATTCCCAGTATTAACGCACAAGGTAGTCAAACTGACCTCCCTTCTCATCTTCAGTGGGGAACAGTGGACAGAGTGGAGCATACTTAACTATTATTCTCACTCAAAGAATCTCATGAAAATGAGCAGATGGCCCAGTTCTACTCTCTAGGCATTGAATAGTTGATTTTGAGAGGAATCCCCAGGCACAATAAAAAAGAGCTAAGAATTTATTCTCCAACATAACTCCATGAAAAAGGAGTTTATATAATCCTATGAGAAATTAGTTCTAGAACAATTTTATTTTGGGAAAAATCCTGAAACCATAGAAGCCTACAGGGGGAAGGGTGGACTAGATGGCTTTTAATACTCTTTCCAGTTCAAACCATTATTTACAGTTAATTACAGGATACCTATTATACACATAACAGAAAGACACTGCCAATGCTCTCTATCCCATTTGGTCTGCTCTTTTATGTATTAATATATAATTTTGAGTTAATGACTTTAATCATAACACTGTTTTATACAACTGGATGTTTATCTGATCAGATGGCAGAGTGCCTCTTCTTATATTCCATTTTTTAAAATTGCTCTGATTTTCATTTAATTGCTCTTTTTGATAGGGATAATATCCTTGCAATTGAGCCCTATTAAGTGCAGTGGCCATCGTCCATCTTTAAAAGTCTGCTAATGAAATCTCCAACTGTAGTTGACTCAAAGATTAGTACTTATCCCCTCTCAGCCAGCTTCCAAAATGCCAATTGAAATGACAGGCAGTGTATTCCAAGCATCGAGGTATTTTAAGCCAAAACAATTAAGCTTGAAAATACAAAGACCTTAAAAATAAATGATAGTGACTAATTTCTAGCTCCAAGTCCTTCCCAGTGTTTATAACAGGTTTGCAGTATATTTTCTTATTGAAAATACTGGACAGTCTTGGTGGATAGTTTTAGTTACAGATTATTTTACTGTTTTTATTTTGAATCTGACTCACAAGGACTCTCATATTATAAAATCCTACCACATAATAGTCATGTTGCCCCCCAAATAAAAGCAAAACACTGTTTCACAATGAATATAACCACAATACAGCCCCTCAGTCTCCCAGGGCCTCCATTCCATAATAGGATTACGTTATAGATGTGGGGCAGGTAATTATCATATTGTTAGATCTCTTTGCATAATACATGAGACTGAATTAACAGCAAGTGTGTCTGATCAATAATGCTCATTCATCACCTCAGATCTGATTCTCATGATAAATACTCTTAGGCAGAGGCTTAAAACACAAAGATTCAAATTCACAAAGTCAGAGCACCATTCTTGTCTTGAGTTACATTTGCAATTTCTACCTTTCGTTTGTAAAGAAAGAAATTAAGCTGTAAGAGCCCCACCATGGCAGCCTCCACACTCTCTTACCTTGTTGACTCATTCCATGAAAATGCACAAATTTTCAGCTTCAGAGTCCTGGAATTTCAACAGAAAAATAAAAATGAGTATTACAGACTATTTGCTGATGAAAGCATGCTAAATTTTCACCTACAGTGTAACCACAGTGTAAATAATTGGAGGGAATCTTTGCTTCTCTGACTGTATCTCCTCCTTCCTAAAGGTACAATTTACTGTAATAGAGGGAATGCTCGCCCCTGCTCCCTCCCCACCAGTGGGCAGTCCCTTCTCACTGAGCTGCCAGCTTGATCTATGGTCAAATGAAAATATTACGGAGCTGCCTGAATTCTGATGAGAAAAGCACAGGAGATAGAGGAAAGATTATTCCACAGAGATGGCTCTTGGACTTGTGATTTCCTTTCTATAATACTCCTTGTAGGTGATCTGGGCTGAACAACAATATGAGAAAGAGAGAAGCAAACGTTCTGCTCTAGGAGACTCTGCATTGAACCTCTTCAATGATCCCATGTGGAACCAGCAGTGGTACTTGGTAAGTACCTCCAGGACTGCCTTACATCTATGTAATGGGTTGTTTTGTTGTAATGAGAAACCCAGTGCTATCTGGAGATTAGGGCTGCGGATCTTCTGACTTGCCAGGTACATGGATCTGAAACACAGATCTTCACCTGCCAGGAAGGGAGGAGTTGTCATCATTTTGCCCTCTTATGCTAATCTGATACAAGGACGGAAGAATCATGTCTTGCCATGCTAGAGATTCCAATAACAATTCCAGTAACGAAAATCCCACTTTTGGTTAAAATTACTCTTGAGAACCCTCTAAATCACTGATTTGGTGGATAGGGCCCTGGATGTCAGTTCTTATGTGCCATAGGTGAGAATCTCCAAATGAGACTGAAGGCAGGAATACAAAGAAAGTCTACTTTGAAATGTCTAGACTTGCTTAGTGTTGGTGCTTTCCTGTAGGCTCTTCTCTCTTCTGTTTAATCTTAAGCCTCTACAGTTGCAATACAAGTTAGTAGAAGTATTTGTTGTGGAGAATATTGCACAATTTTCACATGACAACCATAAGCAAAGGCTTAGATACGTTAGTTGCATAATGCATGGAAAAGGGAAGAAGTTCCTTTTGCCATTCTGGTAACCTAAGCAGCACTTGGTCATTGTAGCAAACGAGCCTTCTCCACCTGCCTTTGTGCATTTACTCTATACCAAATATCATTGTTAGGTGTTTGACATGAATTGACTTATTTGTTACTCACAATGACCCTATGTTTAGATTCAGTTACTATATCCATTTCACAGATGAAGAAACAGAGACACTGGCAAGTTGAACAATTCGCCAAAATCACATGGTCCCTAGTAGTAGGGGTCATAATTCATGGCTCCAGAGCTATGCTCCATAATTGCACCTGCACATGACACAGAGACCTTCTTCTGTAGCTTTGGCTAATACATTGAGTGTAGTTCCCAACCCCTGAGATTCAGCTCTATGCTAGTTGGATAAATTCTTGTTTTCTCCCTTCCCCCATCCCCTGCACCTCTTTCTGAGGAGCATCAGCAAGGAGCAGTCTATTCATTGACACTTGATGGCTGTTACTTATTTTTTATTGACACCTTCACCAGGCACCTGACACTCCTCCTCTGTAGGTCTCCTGCATTCCTGGAAGTGTGCTTAGATTCATGTCCTCTTGCTGCCCAGCTCTTCTCCCACTCAACACCTCACACTTTAACTCTCAGAAAAGTTGTCTGGAAGAGACATCCCCAGATCTCCTCTCATAGATCCTAAATCACTCATACTTGGAAATAGACAATTAGATTGCAACTCCTGTTGAATTCACAGTCTCCTGAGCCTTCCAGGTTCTGCACTTTCTAGATGAAGAAAAGCCATAACACATATATGTGTGACTGTGCCCCAGACATCAGAATGTGAGTTCAGTATGGCAACATAAGCTCAGGGGGCAGATGGAAACATAAGACATCAAGTAACTCATCAGCCAATGAGGAACTCAATCACATTAATATGAAAAAAACTCATGGACAAACCTCTTCAAAGCTTCAAAGAGAAGCGACCCAGGGTGATTCATCCTTCCAAGAGATTTTCTATTAGAATATTGGAAGAAGAACAGAGCTCTGATGATTCATTTGGTCCTACCTTCTACTTTTTTTTTTTTTAATTGCATCTCATTGCCATCTTTTAAAGAGTAGAATGACCCAAGGAAAAAGAAAGATGTGTCTCCATGTTGGAGCTTAAGTTCCCAATTTGTAGCAAGAAGATCATTATTTTACCAATTCTTCTTTGTTTTTCTTAATCAGCAAGACACTAGGATGACTGCAGCCCTGCCCAAGCTGGATCTTCATGTGATACCTGTTTGGCAAAAAGGCATCACGGGTAAAGGAGTTGTTATCACTGTACTGGATGATGGCCTGGAGTGGAACCACACAGACATTTATGCCAATTACGTGAGTCTGGGGCCTCCCATAACTACAACTTAGGTAGCTGTCTATGCAGACATACAGTTGGGGCTTTTTTCTCTTCAAGGAAGGTGCTGCTCTTTGCTCCTCCCCTTAGCCTCTGTCCAGCTTCTGAACTTGTTTTATACCAAGGGTCATTGGAAAAACGCAGCGGGGCCAAGTATTGTATGAAAGTATGTGTGGTGGGAGGAGTGGAGGTACCTTTATTATTAACAACTATTCAGACTCTGAGCCACTCAGTGTTTGGGGGGCCTTGAGCCAATCAAATCAAGCCCAAAGAAAAATCATTTTCTCAGTCTTCCTCCTCACATCCATTAGAGTCAGTTTCCTTGACATTGTGAAGTTATGTGAATATGATTCCTTCCATAAAAAGTCAGTGTGAATGCCACACAACGAAAAAAATGCCAAGCTGAGAAAGAAAAGTTTACTTGAAATGAAAAAATGAATGAATGAATGAATGAAAACTATTTGCTTAATTGTTCATGAGGTTCGTAATATAACGCAAACTCCATAGTGTATCTTAGGTCTTCAGACTGGAGTAGTGGACAGTTCATCCTTAAGACTGTCCCTTGTTTTTCACCCTTTCCACCCATCCAGTGTCCCTGCAGTCATAACTCCAGGATAAAGAGTGAAGGAAAATAAGAGATGAGAAAGCATAGCAAAGGGTGGAAGGCAGGAGCTACTGGGACGTAAGGAGCAGGAGCAGCAGTGGTCTCAGAATTCCTGTGTGGGAGAAGCTGAGGGGCAGCAAGCTGGTGGAGAAGGGGGTAGGTCCTGGAAGCTTGTCTTGCCGTTCAGGCACACTCTCTTTCATGAAATCACATGCTTATATCATGTTCCTGGGGAGACTGAAGGAGCCCATCAGGGCCCTGAGCCCCACCCCACAACCATGACTTTGCACCTGTAGTCAAAGAGACTTAAGCACCAGAGGGTCACTAATTAGCTCTGCTGCCTCAGTGGAGCCACTCAGCTTCTCTGGGCTTCATCTTTCTCATCTGAAAAACATGGCTGAGTTTCTAGTGCAGTCCAGGAGCTGCAGTCTGCTAGAATTCCTTGAGAACTGTAGGCTGGCTCATGTTGCCATCTTCATTGTAGCTGCTTGGTTTTTGGTGTAATAAATATTCAATAAATATTCAGTTCCTAGGCCAGAAGCTCCAAAATACAGGCTTTTGAGCCAGTGGCCAGGATGGAAAGGGAGGGGTAGAAGGCCTGGGATGTGCTACCTTTATAAAAATGGTGCTACAGTGTTACTTTTGTTGTCTCTTTAGGATCCAGAGGCTAGCTATGATTTTAACGATAATGACCACGATCCATTTCCCCGATATGATCCCACAAATGAGAACAAGTGAGTAAATGCCTTTGGGGGAATAAAGTGCTCTAAAATGCTTTTATCTTGTTGGAGAAAATTATATTATAAATTGGGTGTACATTCCAGCTCTCAGAAAATAGTAATGCACCCCATCCATACCATGGTATTTTGTTGCTTTTGAAACAGAAACCAAAGATAGCTTCTATTTTTATATTCCTTTTGGTTTACAGAACCATAGTTTAATTAAACTTCTTATATCATGAAATTCTCACCTCAAATGTTACTGAATAACTGTACCTTTAGAAGGAATGGTGGGGACATAAAGTGGACAAATTTTGAGTTTGCCCCCAATTCCTCTAAGAACCTTTTACTAATAGCAAGGTATTTGGTGTCAGTCATGAAGATAAATATACATGAAGAAATACGTATTAGCAAATCCCTACAACTTTCCATGGTGGCTACAGCCACTCTGACCCAGGCACCGAGAAGGGCGTGGCCAAGTACCTGGCAGAAGTGCAGCTGAGACCTGGCCAAGCCCAGAACAGCCTACAGGATGTGGAACCTGTTAGAAGCCTCCTCCAGAGTTCCTGCTGCATGTGAAGCCAAAGAGAAGAGAAAGACGACAGCACCTGCACCTGACCCCTAGATTAACAATCTCTCTATGGCAGTCACGGGGTGACAAGGGAGGCCATGAGCCACAGTGACCAAGGAAAGACCCAGATCAAGAGGCTTTTTACCTCTTCCAGCCCCAAAGAAACCTCACTGTGTACACACACAGCCTCAAAGGAGAGCTCATCTTTGCTCAGACTGGTATCTCTCATAGACTTCAAGGGGACAATCAACTTTCCCCTTCATTCTCTGCACCCAAGAGACTTGCACAAGGATAGATCAAAGTCAAGGCCAAAAGTTGGCCTTGCTGCTACAAGTAGGGGTGTCAACAGCAAAGTAACTGTGTTTTTGGTAGATGGCACATCCAGTGTTGCCCTTTTCTCTCTGGATTGGCACCTAATTTGTATCAGTCAGGCCTTCCCCCACCTCCAACCACATCCCACCACCACCCCTGTCCTTTATTCCCTCTCAGAACCCCCATGTAGATGGGGCATGAATATTGACCTGAAATTCTTCCTTTCTTTGGATGGTTCCCTCCTTCCAGAAGGCCAGTGAACTCCAGGAAGGGAGGCTGGGGCACACATCTTGGTCTCAACTTTGGGGTGTATATTTCCTCCTTAGATGGAGACTTCTTTTAGTACCACTTGTTGCTCTGAGGGTTTGGGCAAAGGCATTAACTACAAGCACACTTTAGATGTTAGACTAGCTCAGTGACAATACAATAGAATCCACCAACAGGCACGCCCTTGGAAGAAAGTGGGAGTATTTCACCAAGGCAGAGCAGGGTCCCCAGACCCTGAGCTGTCTTTCTGAATCAGAACAGTGCAGGACCAGGAGGAAATCTACTTTTGGAGCACAGCCTTATGATGCTAGCCTGGCTATAGTCAGGGCTTTGTCCATGGCCAGTATACAAGATGACCTTGGGCAAATCACTTGCCTCTCACTGCCTCTATTTTTTTTTTTTATTGTCACTTAAAATGAGTGACAAGACTCCTGCTCCCTACATTGTTAAAGGGAAACTTACTAAGGAAGTAGATGGCCAGTCCATGGAAGAAATTGGTACCTTTCTTAGAATGGAATAAAAATAACTTTCATTCCACCCCTTTTGCTAAGACTTAGGGGGAGCTCTGCTTGTTCCACACAGGTACAGCTAAGGAGACCTGGATGGATGTGTCAGTCCCCTTCCTGTGCAGATCCTGGTCTGGCCTCAGGAACCAATGTGGGTGAAAACTTGTGTCATGGCTTCACAGCAGGTGCACACTTGGTGAAACGATCATTCTGAGTTTCTCTAGCCCTGAGAAGGGTGACTCAGGCCTCCCTCTTTCCTCTTCCCTTAAAGAGGGACTCTCACAACCTGGTATTATAACAGCCACATTTCCCTCAGCACAGGGAGCTGTAGGCCCCCATGTAATGGTATTTACTGTCTACCTGAAAACTCTGACGTTCCACATAGTATGGCGTTAATATAGCAAAACCCAACAGCTATTTAGGACATCTGTCCTAAATATGTCCTATTAAGGACATCTGTCCTAAATAGCACTCTGGCCTCAGAATCAGCCCTTAAGGCATTTGGATATGGCTGAAGAGCCCATGAGAGTATTTTAGGCATGGAAAGCCAAAACAATCTGGAAAAAAAAAAAGAAGACCTAAATGAAAGATCTCTGGGAGTGAGATCCCAGTGGAAAGAACAGGGCCATCAAAGAAGGAGGTACCTTTCTCTAAAGGGAGGAGAGAACTTCCACTTTGACTATGACCCTGTCGGAATAAGATCGAAGTTGGCAAACTCAAAAGGCTTCCATAGCCTTGGCAACTCATGACTAGAGCCTAGGGAGATTACTGACGCCATAAACAAGAGTGTCAAATTGTTAAGTCAACAACAGGAATCACTGTGTACTTACTTCTCATGTGGGATCTGTCCTTAATGTGTTGTCCAATGTGAAGTAATGCTACAACTAGTACTGAAACAGTATTTTACACTTTGTGTTTCTGTGTGGGTGCAAACTGATGAAATCTTTACTTAATATATACTAAATCAATCTTCTGTATATAAAGATAATTGAAAATGAATCTTGATGTGAATGGAATGGGAGAGGGAACGGGAGATGGGGGGGTGTGAGTGGGAGGGAAATTATGGGGGGGCATTGTAATCCATAAACTGTACTTTGGAAATTTATATTTACTAAATAAAAAAATATATATTGAAAAAAAAAAAAAACCAACAGCTAAGAGCACAGATTTGGGAGCCAGACTTTGATCAAATCCTAGTTGAGTGACCCTAAGCAAATTGTTTAACTCTTTGTACCTAGGTTTTTATCAATTTTAATAAGGGATATACACTTAATTGGGTGATTATGGGGATTAACTGTGTTTACATATATGAACCTGGGCACCACCTGGTCCCTTAAAAAGGTGTTTGCTGGGATGATGATGAAGACAATGACAGTGATGAGGATGATAATGCTGATCAGGGCTTCTCATTCAGCAACCACGGAATGAGACCTTCTGTCAGTGGGAAGTCATGACAAGAATAATATCATCCGTTAGGAATAGAAGCAGAGACAAATCAATTTTCTGAGCTAGGTCAGAAACTGCTACTTGAAAATGACACAGTGAACAACTATCTCTCAGGGTTTTCTTGTCTATCGACAAAAAAGGTAGCATCCCTATCATTTTTCAAAAGATATAATAAAAAAATAGAGTTGCCAATCTAGCATGTTGTCAGACATAAATCCCTTAGGTTTTGAAGATGAATGGTCCCATTTTGTTAGCCTTTCTAGCAATTGGAGGCCTATTATCTCCCAATTTCAAGGGTTTTTATCTCTCCAAGCTATCTCTTCTACAACAGTTCTTTATTACTATGTAAATGAGACTAATAGAGGCTGCATTTGCTCCTCTGCAAATCAAAAGAGGAATCACTAAATAAAATCATGAAAGTGCAGGTAGCTCTGATGATTAAGCAGGCCTGGATCTATAGTCAGTATTTCAACACCAATTACCGATTATTTTTCTAGCTAAATAACATGTGTGATAAGGATATTTTCCCCAGAATAATAGTAGTCTTTATCTTGTGGAATAAGTTTTTTTAATCAATTTGTTTAAATGCCAGTTACTGCCATTGTTCTGAGATCATAGAGGGTTTTTTCATCTCAATGGCTGGCCTCCAAAGAGGTCTAGCAGCTGCAGGTCTAGAAGGAAGGAAAGAGGCACACTTTGGTAAGGTCTTCCCTTTTCTCAGTGTATGCAGGAGGGAAGTGAGGAGATCTAGGAACGGGGGTGGGCAACACCCGTATCTATATTGTGGTCTTACTGCAACTTTGCCTAGAAAAGAGCCAGTCCCCAGGACATAGGGGAAATAATGTGGCGCCACCTTGCATCATCTTTCAGAGGCGCAATGCTCATGGCGTTGTCAGTGGGCTGAATCTGTTGGCTCAGGATGGAGACTTGCTCTGGCTCCTTTTGCTACCTGGGCCCTGTGTCTCATCCTGGGTAAATGGAAACATGGGCAATGCTGACTTCTGGAAGGACATTTCTGTGAGGATGACAACTGAATGTCTCCCTCAAAGGCAGACGGCGCCAATTCATCAACAAAGCCTGAGATGCCTTCCTGTGTTCAGATTTGCACACATTTTCAGAGAATGGGTGTTTGGGCCTGGACAGCTTCTGCTAGAGAAAAAAATCGTAACTCAAAGAGTAAGCAAAATGGGGATTAATAAAAAACTTCCATTTAAGGGGTACTCTAGTTTCAGGTATTGCAAGATCCAATAGTCCTCAATAGTACTCAAGATCCAATAGCTGTACTCAAATGTCCTTAGGGCACCAATCACTCACTCTGTACCTCCTAGGCGCCTCACCCCTACTTGGCTTCATTCTCAATAGAATCTTGCCTGACAACAAGCGCCACATGGCTCCTTGGAACTTAAATAAGCTCAAGGTTCCCAGGAAAGACTATGGTTCTCTTTCCTAGAATCTGCGTGAAATCTTGAACATTCTTGAGAGGAGGGGGCCCCAGGCTTGCCAGAATCCTAAGGAGTCAGAGAGGGCCACTTGCCAAAAGGGGAAAAATGCTAGCAAACCTCAAAGAAGCAGATGCCTGCCACATCAGGAAAGATCTTGAACTAAAAATCCTGCTGCTGTTCTGGCTAAGGATTCCCACCCAATAGTAACATGAAGGAGCAGGAACACATGCAGTGGGAGGAACCGGGAAGTCATCTTTGGTGTTCCAGGAAAGAAGGCTAAGCTAAGAGGAATGACTTTGGGTGGTCCAGCCAAGGTAGGTGGTTTATATCCCATTCCAGGCTGAGTCAGAAGGCAGCCAGGCAGGTAGCATCTGAAAGTAGTTGGCTGGCTGGAGAAGTTGTTCAGAGCTAGCCCTTCCCCTCTTTTTCTTTAGGTCGTCGTTTTCCTTTATGTTGGCCAGAGCTGTATCCGGCCAACAGCTCTGCCAGGCCACCAAGAGCCTTCACCCCACTCTCAGGTGTTTCCACAGTGGAACAAAGCCATGAAAGAGATGCCTTCACATGGATGTGCTCTTGATGTATGGGTCCTCTTGGGTCAGGATGGTGGCGAGAAAAGCCAGCTATCACCCACAGAATTCAGAATTGAGGTATTAGTGGTGGGAACTGATATTGAAAGCATCAATTATCCTCTCTGCCTGTGCATGCCCATTTTGCTCAGGGTCAGACTTTGCTCTCGGTCAGAGTTGTAGGAGCATCTTGATTGTCAATTAGTCTGTGGTGTGTTGTGAAAATCTCCAACTCTTCTTGGTTGCAGGAACTCCTCCGACATTTCAGTGTGGTGTATATGGGTAAAGGAGAGGAGGAAGACTTCAAAAGGGCCTGGGTTCTGTCATACCCTGCTAGGGCTGGGCCAGGATAGCCTAATCCAAGGCAGCCACTAGGGAGAAAAGTGAAGAATCACCTCTATGCAAAAGAATGAAGCAGAGCCATATTTTGTGTGGGCAGAGGGGGTTGGGGGGAACTACTCCTGAGTGTCAGAGTTCTCATAATAGTGTCAATGGCTCACACTTCCTGGTGCTTACTGTACATCAGGCACTGTCCTCAGTACTCTACACACCCTGTCTCCTATGGTCTTCTCAACAACCCTGTGAGACCAGGTAACTTAGCCAAGGTCATGCCACTCTTTAGTGACAGAAACCAGAGTGTGAATTCATGTAATTTGGCTTTAGAACCCATGTCCCTCATAGGAACATAAACTTCATCTAATGCTAACAGGAAGAAAACCAGCCGCGAGGTGAATGAAAAGTTCACATATCCATGGACCACGCATTCAGGCCCAGATTCTTTCCCTTGTTTCTGTCATGTGATTCTTTCATTTCTTCTTCACTAGACATGGGACCAGGTGTGCAGGAGAGATTGCCATGCAAGCCAACAATCACAAGTGTGGAGTGGGAGTTGCATACAACTCCAGGGTCGGAGGTAAGTGTATGTGTGTGTGGGGGGGGGTTCCTATCATTCAGCACTGCAATCTGAAGCTTGCATCACTCTTGGAAATGGGGCAGAGAGTGGGAAGAATACCTTTCTTTCAACAACCAGAGGAAGAAATGGGTTCCATACAAAATTTGCTGTAGGACATGAATGTGATTTGCAACCAGATCAATAGATCTGGATTCCTGGAAAATGGAGAGCTGAATAGAGTCCATACAACTTTGCAGGGGGCAAACATGGAAATGTTGGGTAGCATTTGAACAAAATCTAATTTTCTCCATGTTCTGGTTTAGAAGGGTTTGTTCCTGAGGGCTTGCTAAGGGAACAGAAGGAGAAGATAAATTTAGGCAAAGACTTTCCCTGCCTCTCATTTCTGTAGTTCTTAACTTCATAGTAAAGAAGAACTTCAAAAAAAAAAAAATACTTGTTACACTAAGTACCCAAAGATTATCTTTGTAATGGGGATGTGGTATCGCTAGTTGTTTTGGTCAGAGTCCATATAGGAAAACACATGGTTAGTGCCATTTGGGTAACTGCAGGTAACTTTAATAAAGATGCCATTTCCAAGGACTACAGGGCTAATGAATGTAGGCAGATGTTCACAGCTTTAGGTCTTACGGAGCAAGGGGAAGGAGAGACCAGCGAAAAATGAGGGGAGAAAGCTGTGGCCACGGGAGAGAGCCACTGGACAGGGACTGTGGCCTTGCATACATCAACAGAGCTGCTTGCAGCCAGAGAGGAATCCAGAACCTCCTGTTGGTGCCTTCATTTGGCTGAGCCCTGTGGAGGGTCAGGAGGAGTCACTGACGCAGCTCATGTTCCCATGGAGAAGGGTCAGGGGCTTCAGAGCGCTTTCCTCCGAAGGGGCTATCAGAGAAGCGAGTGTTTCTCCCCGCTGTTTCTACCAGCAGGCTTTCACCAGTCTGCTATAAACTCAGTTTAGTTTGGCTTTCAAAAACTACAACCACAAAAACATCGATTGTAGAGCATACTCCATTAATGCCTACATAAAGGTGCCTTGAATTTTGTCGTGGGTTCCTTTTCAGAAACCCAATAAATACATACCCAGACATATACAACAAGTTTCTGTTGGTACAGGAGACTCCCAGATTTTTAAGTATCATTCCTGATTGCTTTGTCACTGGCATCTTCAAAGCACTGTGCTAATTTTAAGAAAAATAGAGGCAGAAGCACAAATTATGCAATCAACTAGAAAGAGAATTCTCTGAAGTCCTGATGAACTAAACAGCTACAGCCTGTGAGAGAGTCATCTGATTCCTTAATTTTATAAAAAGAAAATCACAAGCATTTGTCTTAAAGTTAACAAAATATAGTGATGCCCAAGACTTCTGATTCTAGACCTACTGAATTTTTAAATTACTTCACCCTTTGATGTATTTTTAAAATGATAATTTTCATCTATTAGTTACCTAATGCATGACAACCACTTACCATACAACACATTATAGGCATCAGTATGGGATGGTAGTTAACGAGATAGATGAGGGTGCCTCATTTCTAAAATCCAAATCCTAGCTTCCCAATTTCAAACTGTGTGACCTTGAACAAGTCACACGCCTGTCTGGCCTCAGCTGCTGTACCTGTAAAACAAGAATGACAACATCCACCTCACACAGCTGTTGTAAGGACAGGTGCGTTCATACACGTGAGGCCTTGTATAATGATGACTCTGTAGGAGGTCATCCATGCCCATGAGCTGCTAATATCATCACGTTACAGTTGAAGAGGCCGAGGCTCAGAGAGGTTAAGGGGCTTGCCCACAGTCACATAGCTACTAAGTAGAAGAGTTGTCTGACTTTTCTTCCAAATGCAGTTTTAAACAACTTTCTATTTTCACAAATATGACTTGGGCTGATCACGTCAATGGCATGTTCTTTTGCCTCTGCTCCATAGTAAATAATCATTTGAAAAACCACAGGCTGTGCACACCACACTGCACTGTAAGCCCGAAGCCAGGAATAATGAGGTACCTGCTTGTACCTCCAAATTGCTTTTGCCTCCCTGCGCCCGATAATGGGCACCAGGCTGTTGGAACAGCCAAGAGCGGCCGCGTTCTCCATCTCCCCATGCGGCATGACACCCCCTCGGGAGGGAAAGTCTTGGCAGGATTTTATCCTTGAAGCTATTCAGAAGAAAAAGAAGCATGCTCCTTGAAAATGTTTCTTTGCAAACACATAAAAGGATGGCCTTGGGGTTATTTTTAATCAGTGCTTAGAAACAAGAGTTCTCTCCCTGCTAACTTTCCTTTTGTGGACGGTTCTTTGCAAGCTGCAGTTTCCCGTCCGGTGTCCTTTGTGTGGCAAAAACTGGGCTGCAGCCATTCGTGGTGGAGCCACATGCACTCAGGCTGATGGGGGCCTGTCTGAGAGGTCCGAAGGTCACTTTGCTGGGGTGGCAGAGGGAGCTGAGGAATGTAATTGACAGCAACCATGGCCGCCTCTTCTTGTCCAAAGATACAACTTCCCTTCAACCACAGGGGTATGATGGGAGACAGAGCTTTGACACAGCTGGGGACACAGCTGCCTGCATAGTGCACACACAGTCTCACCTCCGGAGTGGCAGACAAGGAAGTGTATGGGGACAAGGAGTTGTCCCTTCCTTCTGAGCTGTTAGTAGCTGGGTAGGCATTAGGGGACATCCAGTAATTACCTTGTTTTTGACTCTTAAAAAATATGGCTATAAAGAGCTTTGTGCTTTTCTACAAGTACATATTGACATGGCCGTGTTGCTGTGTGTGTGTTTTGCTGCTCAGGCATAAGAATGCTGGATGGCATTGTGACTGATGCCATTGAGGCCAGTTCCATTGGATTCAACCCTGGACACGTGGACATTTACAGTGCAAGCTGGGGCCCTAATGATGATGGGAAAACCGTGGAGGGGCCTGGCCGACTAGCCCAGAAAGCTTTTGAATATGGTGTCAAACAGGTGAGATGCTTCACACTGACCCGTAAGAGGTGAAAAACCTGACTTTCTGGATATGAGGTGGGTAGTTACGGAGACAGGTGGTTGTGAATTTCTTGACAAAGCCCTTTTACAATTTTAAATGCATTTAGATGGCCCAATCATTCTTCAGAGAGATGGAAGCTAAGGGTTAAGGGAATTTCTCCTGTTTGGGTCTGACCTTGAGCTAACTTTGGGGATACTGACTAGATAATGCTAACTCTGGGGATATTGACTTGATAATGCTAACTTTAGGGATACTGACTTGATAATGCTAACTTTGGGGATACTGACTTGATAATACTAACTTTAGGGATATTGACTTGATAATGCTAACTTTGGGGATATTGACTTGATAATGACCTCTGCATATGTCTTGCTCCTTGCTCATTTATTTTCCTGCGGCTGGTGGGTTTTGAAACTAGGTAAACTATGGCCCAGACTGCTTTCAGATGCTCTGAAAATGCCTTCTCAAATACAGCAGCGTGCACCTTGCACTCTGCACATGCCTGGTTGTGTTGCTTGTTGCTCTTGCTCGGATTCCAAGGTCTTGCACTCCACAGGAGGCAGCCAAAGTAGAAACTTCAGAGGGCACCCATTGAAAGCTCCCAGAACCGGTAGCCTTGACGAGTTCCATTCAATTGAAGAGTCCCTTTTAATGCAGCTGCAAGGCAGATCTGAATAATGTCTGATTTTGTCATTCTATCAGCCAGCCAGAAGATTTTCACGCAGAAAGAGAGGATGTTGGAAGATTCAGGCTTAGTGACAGGAGCCAAGAGAAGAGTGAAAAAATAATGAGCCAGTGCTAAAGGCTAGATTATGAATCTGCATAATAATGAAAAGAAAGAGAAAAAAGAGCTGGCTCAGCCCCACCCCCAGTGATGAGGGAGGACAGGGCTGGGTCTAGGGATGTCAGCTATGGTCTCGTGAGATTCCTAGCACTGTTCCTTGAGGCCCTGATCATAGCATCTGAGAACGTCCCACGTGGACTTTGCAGCGGGGGTGGGATGGTATTGTACTTTGACAGTGACCCAGGTGTATGATAAGAGATGTTGCGTGTTCTGTCTCCTCCTCTAGGGGAGACAAGGGAAGGGCTCCATCTTCGTCTGGGCCTCGGGGAACGGCGGCCGGCAGGGGGACAACTGTGACTGTGATGGCTACACTGACAGCATCTACACCATCTCCATCAGCAGTGCCTCCCAGCAAGGCCTGTCCCCCTGGTACGCCGAGAAGTGCTCCTCCACGCTGGCCACCTCGTACAGCAGTGGGGACTACACCGACCAGCGAATCGTAGGTTGCTTTTGTCTAACAACTCCCTCCCTCCTCCCGGGAGCAGGTGCATGGCTTGCGTCGTTGGGAAGGATGCTCCTACGTGACCTTGGGCAAAGGTTGATCTGCTTACACTCGATGTTTCGGGTGGGAAGACGCTGCTTGCTCACGTGAAAGACGGGGCGTGTGCTGGGATGTTTGCTCTCCAGGGATGATGACACTTCTGCCAAGATGATCTGCCTTCCCTGTCATTTATAAAGCCAGCAACCCTGTCATTATGTACAGGCGAGCCTCCAAATGTCTTTTCTCGGGCCTCCCTGGAAACTGTCTTGAAGGAGATTTCAGGGTTGGAGGGGGCTTTATCGCCCTGTGCTGGCTGATCCCTTAATAGCAAGGCTAGAGTCTGACTTGCCCTTTGGCAGATGATAAAAATACATAGTCTATCTCAGCTCTGTCTCCCAGGAACAGGCAGCCACAGGAAAATAACAGTCTCAGTTCTCTTGGAGGTTAACCCCGCTCTTCTGGGAAAGCAGCTCCCTGGGTTACTATGCTCAGAGCCCCTGTAGCCCATGCTTGTTTCCTGAGCCTCTGTCCGTGAGTCTGACTGCCAAGAGCAATGATCAGATTTCCCTTCAAGGGTGTGACAATGAGGGCCCCAGTGGGCTTGGAGAACAGAGAGAGAGGCCCTTTTGATTTAAACATTGAAAGCCTCCTATTTAACTCTGGACATAGGACCCAAGAGCTGGCAGGATGGAGACCTAAATCTCAACAGGATCCCATAGTCACGACCTGGGAATGGGTGCAAACTTGCCACTCCCGACATCCAGCACCATTGTCTTCATCCAGGATCCCTTCCTGCAGCTCTGCCTATCTGTGCAAGCTCATTCAGGCAGCGAAGCTCCGGTTTCAACGCAAAAGCACTGGCCTACCTCTCGGGTCCCTCTCTTCCACTTTCGAGGAGTGGACAGCGCTCTTCTACCCAAGGGCTCTACCTGGTGTAGTTTACAGCTTCTGAAAGGGGCATGACAGACACCTGCCCATGTGTGTGCCGAGCCCCTGGCTCTTGCCATTGCCCGGGGTGCTCAGAGCTGCCTTTAGCTCATCTCGCACCCCACTGTATGGACTGTCTCTCACTGGGGCTCGCTCCCTTGCACCAAAGCAGGAGCCAGCCCTGGGAGAGACAGCCGGTGGATGCTGCTTGCCACAGCGGTAGTATCATAGTTTTCCTCTTACGCAAACCTCGTCTTCCCCAGCTGTGTCATCTCTGGGGGCTCAAGTGCGTCAACAGGTAAAAGGGCAGCCTCACTTCCGCAGCCCTCCAAGGAGCAGAGCCACCATAACTTGGGAAATTCAGCAGCTCTAAACAGGAAGCCAAAGGAGGTGATAATAGAACAAATTATTTTTTTTACACCTCTCTCCCACACATCGCAATCTCTAGCTAAAAACTAAAACGCTGCAGCCTGGAAGGGAATCTGGTTAGGAGTCTTTGGCCTCGCTACCTGCTCAGCCAGCACGGCCGTGTGCTCAAGGAAGACAGATTGGAAGATAACTTGTTTCTTCCCCTTCGTTTCGGCAACCTCCTTGTTATCCTAGAGTTAGCCTGGGCAATGCCTTACATGCAATGGTATTGTGCAAGAAATGCGGTCCTAGTCAGGATCTCATGTAAGCCGCCACATGTGAGTCAGGACACACAGATCTCGTTTTGCAGAAGGGGAAGCCAAGTGTCTTGCCCGTGGCACACATCTACCATGGAGTAGTTCTGAAACTCAAAGGCAGGATTGACTCCAGCCCGCTTTGCATTTTACGAAGCCACACTTCCCATCAAGCCGCAAATGTGGACGCTGACTCTCCCAGGTGTCAAAAGCAGTCCACTGTGAGTGGAAACTTGGTGCAGCAGGTTCAAGTGGCTGAGAGCAGGATGGCTTCCTACCCTGGTGCTGAAGAGGCCGTCACACGGCAGCCCGAAGGCCAAGGGGAATTTTGGGTGAGGCAGAATTTCTGAATGTGCCAGACCAAACACAATGGCCCGGATGATTAATGGGCCAGTGTGAGTCACCGTGATTTCGAGACTGTTCCTTTTTTATAGACAGCATTTCGTTTGGGAATCTCAGAAGAGAAAATATTCATAGTGGGAGTACTTCATCCCCAGAAAAGGCATCTTGCTGCCAGAATTATAGACAAGTTGCATGCAAAGGAGAACGAATGAGAATATCAGCAGATGGCAAACATCCGCCTGTGGGTTAGAGGAGGAAGTAGGGAATGGAATCAGCTGTTTCCTGGTCAGAGCAGATGTAGCCCTCAGTAAGCTCCATGCTCCCGGCTCCCCCTCTCACCTGTCCCTGCCTCTTTCTCTCTCTGTTCCTGCTGCACCCAGACCAGCGCGGACCTGCACAATGACTGCACTGAGACCCACACGGGCACCTCGGCCTCTGCACCCCTGGCTGCTGGCATCTTCGCTCTGGCCCTGGAAGCAAAGTAAGGCCCAGGAAGTGCCAAATTAGCTTTGCTAAGATGGCGTTTCCTTTTCTTCTTTCTTAATAACGCAGGTTGCTTTCTGGATCCAAGGTTAGAAAGTCACAAAACATAATAAAAATAAACTCTCTTCTGTCACTTTGAGATAAGATTTGTTAATATCTCAGTGTAGATGTTTTACTCACAGACACACACATCTTACAAAATCTGGACCTTAATATACATATTCTTTTTACCCACTCTATAATATGTTAAACATATTTTTCAGGTTCACATTCACCTTTAAACACACACACACACACACACACACACACACCGCCCAATGTTCTCCCCGCTTAGGCCCTCTCACTCCTGTTTATTCCCACCTGATGGGATTTTATCCAAATGATTTCCTATGAGTAGCATTAGAAGCAACAAATATTATAAAATAACCCCCCCACTCCCACAACCCTGTTACCTGAAGTTCATACTGGAGCTGTTAGCACTGAGTCAGGGGACATAAGGATTAAAGACAAGATTTTAATTTTTTCATGCATGCTTTGCCACTGCATAAATGCAAATTTCGTAAGAGTCATCCAATCATGCATAAACACCTTGGTCATAAATACTGGTTGTCACCTCTGCTAAAGTCTTAAGGACAAACACCCAGAACTAGAATTTATGGACCAGAGAGCAGTTGAGTTCTCATGATTTTGATATATGTTGTTAGGTTGCTATCTTGAAACACTATACCATTTTATATTCCAAGAGGAATATATGAGGGCCTTTCAAAAAGTCTGTTAAAAAAAAGGAATCAAATAAAATTATTTTGGTGCAAAAAATTTTGAAACCCATAAGTTTTTTTCCCCTAATACGGACTTTGCCTGTAAGTTTTTGAAGATGTCTCCTAGCTCAGTTTCCAATTTCCAAAAGAACTCTTGCCCAAACTATTTTTAAATGTTTGCAATTTGGATAGGTGAAATGGCATCTCATTTTAATATGTTTGTATATCATTATTAATGAAGCTCCATACTTTCTGTCATTTGAGATTGCTTCTTTATGACCCTGCTTGTGTTTTATAGCCTTGGTTCAGAAAAGCCATCCCTGCTCTATCAGGTTGATATTTACCTTGAATTTCCTTCGTAGGTAATGTTTAATGTGATGGAGTTAATACGTATGTAGTTATGTTGATCACTCTGTCACTTTAAGGTTTCTTGCTTTGTTTTTTATGCCAACAAAGAAACTTCACAACCCCAAATTAACCATTCTTTGTATATATTTCTTTATGATTTCTTTATCATACAAAGGATATGTCCCAAAATTCTTGGAAAGATGGGGTTAAAAGATAAGTTTAATTTTGTGCCCCCAAAATCGTGAAATTCATATATATCTTTTTCATAGTATGTGTTTTCTATGAATTTTCTGAAGATCATTCCTCTCCCTGGATCTCAAAATTGTTTTTAAAGATTTCATCTATCTTTTTTTTAAGGTTTTATTTATTTTATTTGAGAGGTACAGTTACAGACAGTGAGAGGGAGAGACAGAAAAGTCTTCCATCTGCTGGTTCACTCTCCAGATGGCCACAACGGCCAGAGCTGTGCTGATCCGAAGCCAGGAACCAGGGGCTTCTTCTGGGTCTCCCACGTGGGTGCAGGGGGCCAAGGACTTGGGCCATCTTCCACTGCCTTCCCAGACCATAGCAGAGAGTTGGATCAGAAGGGGAGCAGCCAGGACTAGAACCGGTGCCCATATGGGATGCCAGCGCCGCAGGCAGAGGATAAACCTACTGCGCCACAGCTCCAGCCCCTCATTTATCTTTAGAGGTAGAGACATGCAGAGATACAGAGAGAACTCCTATCCATTGGTGTACTCTCCCGATGCCTACAGAGAGCCAGGGCTAGCTGGGTTGAAATCACAAGTTGGGAACTCATTCCCATGTGCATAGCAGGAACCTAATTACTTGAGCCATCACCTGCTGCCTCCCAGGGTCTGCATTAGCAGGAAACTAGAATCAAAGGTAGAACTGGGAATCAAACCCAGGGACCACAATATGGGATATGGATATGTTAGCCAACATCTTAATTGCTAACCCAAACATCTGCCCCTGGATTTCAAAGCTTTTTTGCACCAAAACCTACTTATCTTTTAATCCCATTCCCTACTTTTTGCAGTACTTTCATATTTAAATTCTACATTCCGCCCCCGCTGGAATTTATTTTAGAAAGGGATTTAGCAACAATATTTTCCTCATAATAGTTACCCAATAGTCCAATACCTAATATAAGGGGGAGAATTTAACCAACACTACACAGCCAGAGATTTTTATCAGCCTTCATTCCTAGTTTATGAAGTGTGATGACAGCAAATCTTTAAATGTCAACTCAGCTCATGTGGCAGCATAATGAAAGAAGCAATTACATTTGTAAATCAGAATTATGCTCCCTAAGAAGGAGCTGCTCTAGAATAAGGTCCATATACTATGGAGACAGGACAAAGCAGTCCCCTCGAGTGGCCTTCAGTAGATTACAGATGTTCACAATAGCACACAGGTGGAACATCTTGGTTTTTGCCATAACTGGAAATGCCCAGGAGAGTCCAGCATAGCTCTAGGAACCCTGGGGCTTCCTGGGGAGGTGGGGTTTAGTCCTGGGAATCCCAGCTATGAGGTCGTCTCAGTGGCTAAGCAAGACAGGTCTAGCAAGGCTCTTACCATGAGTCTACCCACTTGGCAAGAGGTATGGAAAGGGAAGAAGCAAATCAGGAGCTTAATCAGAAATAGATCTTGGGCAGAACAAAAGAGCCCAGTCCAGAACCTGAGTTCACTGGTAGGAGGAAGGGGATGGACAGAGGACCAAATCTCTGAACATAAGATAAGGCTGCCATCGGCTGATCCCAAACAGCTTCAGGAAGAAACAATCGAGGCAGTGAAAACCACAGAGAGCCACCCGGTTGCAGGTGCTCGCTGGATCACTGGCTGTGTGGCCTCAGGCACGTCAATTCACATGTGAGGGCTCAGTCTCCATCAGTAAAATGAAAGGGTCAACCCAACTTTTTTCAAACCCCTTTCCTTTATGAGATTCATGGATTTGAAATTGAAGATGTCAGCATATATGAGGGTACTTCAAAAACAGGTGGCGAGATGAAATTTCAAGAAAAGTTGATTCTTTTGCAAAAATTTTTTAAATCCATGCCTAGTATATTCACAATATACATTTTCTGGGAACCTTTTGAAGAGTCCTCTCTATATAAATTCCAAAATTGTTTCGCACTCAAATGAACTTACATTTTAACTCCATTTCCCACCAATTTTTTGACGTGCTCTTGTACAGATAATCCATCATGGGTTGTTCTGATTGGTGTTGAGGGGTCTGGGCCAGAAACAAATGGGGTCCTCTGAGGCGCAGGACCCTATGAAATAGGCTTACAAAGCTTATGATCTTAGGATACAAACCGTTAACTCCAGGGAGCTCTTAATGTCATCCTTAAATTTTAGGTCAAGAGCCTTTCTTCTGGATTCAATGCAGGATACATGCAACTATAACCAGCCAGGCCTACCCTAAACTTGTCTAGTGACCAATATGTAGACATAGCCATCTGGCTGAATAGATTAATGTTAATTTCACCTATGAACTACAATTTTAAAAGTATAACCTCTGATTTCTACAACTTGAAAAATTCTTTTCCTTTTCTTAAAAAAAGTCTTTATTTTAAAGGCAGAGTTAGAGAGAAAGAGAGGGAGAGGGAAACGGAGAGAGGGAGAGAGAGGGAGACGAGAGAGGGAGAGAGAGGGAGAGGAGAGAGGGAGGGAGATTGATCTTCCATTTACTGCTTTACTCCCCAAATGGTTGCAATGGCCAGGGCTGGACCAGGCCGAAAACAGGAACAAGGAGCCTCTTCCGGGTATCTCACGTGGGTACAGGGGTCCAAGCACTTAAACTGTCTTCTGCTGCTTTCCCAGGCACATTAGCAGGGATCCAGATCAGAAATGGAGCAACCAGGACTTGAACTGGTGCCCATATGGGACACTGGCATGGCAAGTGGTGGCCTTACCAGCTATGCCAGAATGCTGGCCCAAAAAAGTCTTTTTTCTATACAAGGAGAAAATGATCCAACAATGATCTAGCCTCATTAACCTCATTAGCCCTCAGTGGACAATTTCTTTTTTCTTTTCTTTTCTTTTTTTTTTCTTTTTTCTTTTTTTCTTTTCTTTTTTTTTTTTTTTTTTTTTTTTTTTTGACAGAGTGGACAGTGAGAGAGAGAGAGACAGAGAGAAAGGTCTTCCTTTGCCGTTGGTTCACCCTCCAATGGCCGCCATGGCCGGCGCACCACGCTGATCCGAAGCCTGGAGCCAGGTGCCTCTCCTGGTCTCCCATGGGGTGCAGGGCCCAAGCACTTGGGCCATCCTCCACTGCACTCCCGGGCCATAGCAGAGGGCTGGTCTGGAAGAGGGGCAACCGGGACAGAATCTGGAGCCCCGACCAGGACTAGAACCCAGCGTGCCAGCACCGCAGGCGGAGGATTAGCCTATTGAGCCACGGCACCGGCCCCTTAGTGGACAATTTCTAAAGCAGGGCTCCACTGCTATTGAATACATGGGTAAACTCAAAGGGATCCATGATGAATCTCTTTGTAATTAAATGCAGAATTGCTGATGAGAATGACATTTTTCTGGGGGAATGGTTGGAGGTTCTTCTAGATCCTGACAATGTTCATGATTTAAGAGATGTTATGAGTCTAAGATCTCCCTAGTGCATAGCATAAAAATTTAATTGCCTTCATTTTGATTCAGTTCATCACTAAGATGGACATAATTTATCTTAACATTTATGGCTTTCCTGCCAAAGTACATAGAGATTATTGAGATGTGCCTTCTCAACTGGACAGTTTTCTGAACTTTATTCAACCAAGTGTAGCAAGACTATTATTTCAGAAAATCTGAGTGCCAGAATTTCTAAAAGTGTGACCAAGCTGTATCCCTAGATACTCAAGATTGACAGAACCGTTTAACCATGCACCATCCCTCA